TGCCTTTTTTGCAGACAGCTCACCTTGTGAATTTGTATCTCTACCCTTAATATCGCTCTGGGTTAGTGATTGTGATGCTGTGAGCAGCAGACAATAGGCAAGAGAGGTGTTGACTGTACCACACAGTAGTTTCCATTGCAGGACATGAAAAAGGTGACAAACCTGGCCACACTACCAGCCTTTTGGAAATGTTAAAGGCCCTCATTCAGAAGTTTTGCATAGATGGAAAAAAAAATGTAGATACCATATAAAATAGTAAATACCATATAAAATAATGGCAGGTTCAACTTTGTTTTGTATCTTTGTCCAGGTGCACTCAGGTCATTTGAGGTGCAGAAATATGCTACTGCATGTGGCAGGTTCGGGCTGTTGAGACACTTTGTGAGTCTGTGGTCCACTCCAGCTCTCTGCTTTAGTGACAGTAGGAATTTTGATGTGTTTGTGTGTTTTGATGGCCTGGTCAAGTCTGAAGGTTTGATTGTATGCGGCCCATGGAGTCTGAGTCAGAGCCTGGCACAGCCAGATAAGAGAGCCTCACCTTAAACATATTTTTTACTCTGAGCCATTAATGGCTCACAGGACAGGTTTCATTATACAAACAGACAGCTCAGTCCTGCAAGTGTGTGTGTATTTAAGTAGGTGCATATGTGTGCTGTGTGAATGTGAGTGCGCACAGCTGTGTTGCTGCCTGTTCTTGTGTGTGTGCATATGTATGTGGACAGTTACTTCTCTTGGTTTAAAGTCCTTTTATCCCCCCAGATCTTTATCAGCTCTGAAGTTAGTAGGTACAACTTGTTAGTCAAGAAGAATGCTCTGTGCTCACATGTTAAGTCAGAGCTGCATGGCTGAATGACTCCTGGCCTTCAGTTATTAGTTGCTAAGGGAGACATGAACCAGACGTCTGATGATGGATGCACCTCTCACATCTAGTTTGGATCAGCAACTTTTAATTTGGTCTCTGCATTTTTGTGCCTCTTAATCTCCTCCCGAAGCCAAGAAGACATGCACGTACTGCACTTTAAAGCGGCGCTTTTATTTTATCCTGCCGTGTAAGAGCATGCACTACAGTGAAACCTAGACTCAACATCATGAAAATAGTTAAAGAAGGACTACTACTGTTATTTCTGTTGTTCCAGGCACCAGTTCTATTGTTGATGATAGCATTGTACTCTACAAAACAACTGCTGAGATCTCGGTACACAGTTTGCTGAAGAAGAAATGAGACAAGCATGAGTGGTCACCCAATCATACAAGTACAAATTAAAAGTTTTGCCAGATTATCTGCCGTCTTATTTGGAGGTTAAACCAAAAGTAAGCATACCAACAATGTTGCTAACAATCTCTTATTCTACACGACAACCAATTTATAGCCTAAGTAGTTTTATAAACTATGGTGGACATTCGTGACTGACCGTTTGGTAAATAAGTTTACTGCTCGTCATCATTCTGTAGCAGTGACAGTTTTTAGTCTGACAGATTGTTGGCCTTTTGTCTCGTTGGACCAGTTTTAAGCAATTCCAAGATTTCAGCAGTTACTTTTGTGTCTACAGTGTAGATCAGTATCAAGATCACACTGTATAACTGATCAAATCATGTATTCTATGACTTTGGAGTTGTGTACAGTTGTACAAAGTAACTTAATTGCAAGTGGTCCGTAGGTTGATCAGATTTGTTTCACTAAATTCATCACAGAAGTAGAGCTGCATAATTTGACTAATTTGTCTGTCGACTAATCTATCAATGAAAATTTCGATTGGTCGACTAATCTGTTAATGTAATGATGTTTCTAATTAGCATATAATTTTTGACTTTAAAAAAAGTAAAACAACTTCAATCATTATTTTTTTGTTTTTTTTATTGAAATTTCTGTAAAAAAAATGTTTGTTTGAAAATAAAGTGCAATTTTAAATGCAATATAAAAACAATTACAAAAAGTACAACATAAATAATACTCCAACCCAGCACAGTGGAAAGAACACTGGTAATCTGTGCTTAAAATGCAACAGTGCTTAACAGTGCATAGAATTAACACCGGAAAGGTGACAATTTTACATCCAACATCAAAGAATGAACACCTGAACTGTAATTATTTTAAATCCAATAACTAAAAGGTAATGAGTCCAATATCAATTCTGCCTAGCACTGCAACGAATACCTAAATGTGTTATTCATCCATCCATCCATTTTCTAAACCGCTTAGTCCCAAACGGGGTCACGGGGCCTGGGTTACCAATTTCAGTAACTTTACTCAGTTCAAAACATAGGCAGGTAATCTAAAAAAAAGTATGCATATCACTGTCAGTCAGAAAGGGCTCAAACAGCATTGCAGTGGAGAAATGAAAGCATGTCTACATGCTCTGGAGTCAGGCTTGCTCTTTTTTTATTTACAATGTTCCCGGTAACTGAGAAAAGGCGTCCAGATGGGGTTGACGTCACAGGTACAGACAAGTAACACACTGCAAGCATGGCTAAGGTGGGAAACCCTGGAATGCCATCTCCTTGTCGCAGAGTGAACAGATAACCGTTCGATTCGGCCTCTGTGTGAAATATTCCCACGCTTTTGATTTTCTTCGTGATATTGCCTTGTGCAAAGCATCATCGCTTTGACCGGCATTAGCAGCCGCCATTATCTGCGTAAACACAGGGGCTGTGTCCGAAACCGCATACTGTGACAGTACGTACTGAAAGAGATTAAGTACCTACTTACTGACCGTTAAAACAGTAGGTACTGTATAGTATGAAGCCTGGTAGTATGAATGAGATTCGGACGTACTACATCCGCCATGTTGATACATCACGTGACATACGTTTTCATAGCAGCGTCTTCTTTGTTGGATAACTCCTCTCCCGGGGCATCATGGGATAGTGAAGTGTCCATCGTATGCAAACTGCAAAATCCAGCCGGAAGCAGTAGGTCGCGCACGCAGCCAGTATCATGCAGCGTCGTGACGTATTTCCTCTTCTTCTGCCGTGGGGTTTATTGGCGAGTGGCAACAAAGTGTAAAAGGTGCATTACCGCCACGTAGTGAACTGGAGTGTGGACAGTAGGCAATTTTTAAAAAAAGTCGTGACTCTTTTTTTTTAAGTCGACGTATTTACGTGGTCGACGTAGTCGATTACGTCGACGCGTCGTTGCAGCTCTACACAGAAGCCTGATTTCAACAGTCAAGATATGATTTGAAGATGTCTGAACCTCTAAAATAAAGAAGTAGAAGCATTATACAGTGAGGAACAGAAGTATTTGAACACCCTGCGATTTTGCAAGTTCTCCCACTTAGAAATCATGGAGGGGTCTGAAATTCACATTGTAGGTGCATTCCCACTCTGAGAGACAGAATTAAAAAAAAAATTCAGGAAATCACATTGTATGATTTTTAAAGAATTTATTTGTCTAGCACTGCTGAACATAAGTATTTGAACACCTGAGAAA